ACGCTAGGCCCTTGTTCTTGCACTTTTGCACACGCTAGGCCCTTGTTCTTGCAATTTTGCACACGCTATGCCTTTGTTCTTGCTATTTAGCACACGCTAGACCCTTGTTCTTGCAATTTTGCACATGCTAGGCCCTTGTTCTTGCAATCATGCACACGCTAGGCCCTTGTTCTTGCTATTTTGCACACGCTAGGCCCTTGTTCTTGCAATTTTGCACACGCTAGGCCCTTATTCTTGCTATTTTGCACACGCTAGACCCTTGTTCTTGCAATTTTGCACATGCTAGGCCCTTGTTCTTGCAATTTTGCACGCGCTAGGCCCTTGCTCTTGCAATTTTGCACACGCTAGACCCTTATTCTTCCAATTATGCACACGCTATGCCCTTGTTCTTGCTATTTTGTACACGTTAGACCGTTGTTCTTGCAATTTTGCACACGCTAGGCCCTTGTTCTTGCAATTTAGCACACGCTAGGCCCTTGTTCTTGCAATTTTGCACACGCTAGGCCCTTGTTCTTGCAATTTTGCACACGCTATGCCCTTGTTCTTGCTATTTTGCACACGCTAGACCCTTGTTCTTGCAATTTTGCACATGCTAGGCCCTTGTTCTTGCAATCTTCCACACGCTAGGCCCTTGTTCTTGCTATTTTGCACATGCTAGACCCGTGTTCTTGAATTTTGCACACGCTAGGCCCTTGTTTTTGCTATTTTGCATACGCAAGACCCTTGTTCTTGCAATTTTTCACACGCTATGCCCTTGTTCTTGCTATTTTGCACACGCTAGGCCCTTGTTTTTTCAATTTTGCACACGCTAGGCCCATGTTCTTGCAATTTTGCACACGCTAGGCCCTTGTTCTTGCAATTTTGCACACGCTAGGCCCTTGTTCTTGCAATTTTGCACACGCTAGGCCCTTGTTCTTGCTATTTTGCACACGCTAGACCCTTGTTCTTGCAATTTTGCACATGCTAGGCCCTTGTTCTTGCAATTTTGCACGCGCTAGGCCCTTGCTCTTGCAATTTTGCACACGCTAGACCCTTGTTCTTCCAATTTTGCACACGCTATGCCCTTGTTCTTGCTATTTTGTACACGTTAGACCCTTGTTCTTGCAATTTTGCACACGCTAGGCCCTTGTTATTGCTATTTTGCACACGCTAGGCCCTTGTTCTTGCAATTTTGCACACGCTAGGCCCTTGTTCTTGCAATTTTACACACGCTATGCCCTTGTTCTTGCTATTTTGCACACGCTAGACCCTTGTTCTTGCAATTTTGCACATGCTAGGCCCTTGTTCTTGCAATCTTGCACACGCTAGGCCCTTGTTCTTGCTATTTTGCACACGCTAGGCCCTTGTTCTTGCAATTTTGCACACGCTAGGCCCTTGTTTTTGCTATTTTGCACACGCTAGACCCTTGTTCTTGCAATTTTTCACACGCTATGCACTTGTTCTTGCTATTTTGCACACGCTAGGCCCTTGTTTTTTCAATTTTGCACACGCTAGGCCCATGTTCTTGCAATTTTGCACACGCTAGGCCCTTGTTCTTGCAATTTTGCACACGCTAGGCCCTTGTTCTTGCAATTTTGCACACGCTAGGCCCTTGTTCTTGCTATTTTGCACACGCTAGACCCTTGTTCTTGCAATTTTGCACATGCTAGGCCCTTGTTCTTGCAATTTTGCACGCGCTAGGCCCTTGCTCTTGCAATTTTGCACACGCTAGACCCTTGTTCTTCCAATTTAACACACGCTATGCCCTTGTTCTTGCTATTTTGTACACGTTAGACCCTTGCTCTTGCAATTTTGCACACGCTAGACCCTTGTTCTTCCAATTTAACACACGCTATGCCCTTGTTCTTGCTATTTTGTACACGTTAGACCCTTGTTCTTGCAATTTTGCACACGCTAGGCCCTTGTTATTGCAATTTTGCACACGCTAGGCCCTTGTTCTTGCAATTTTGCACACGCTAGGCCCTTGTTATTGCAATTTTGCACACGCTATGCCCTTGTTCTTGCTATTTTGCACACGCTAGACCCTTGTTCTTGCAATTTTGCACATGCTAGGCCCTTGTTCTTGCAATCTTGCATACGCTAGGCCCTTGTTCTTGCTATTTTGCACACGCTAGGCCCTTGTTCTTGCAATTTTGCACACGCTAGGCCCTTGTTCTTGCTATTTTGCACACGCTAGACCCTTGCTCTTGCAATTTTGCACACACTAGGCCCTTGTTCTAGCAAATTTGCACACGCTAGGCCCTTGTTCTTGCTATTTTGCACACGCTAGGCTCTTGTTGTTGCTATTTTGGACACGCTAGGCCCTTGATCTTGCATTTTGGCACACGCTAGGCCCTTGTTCTTGCAATTTTGCACACGCTAGGCCCTTGTTCTTGCAATTTTGCACACACTAGGCCCTTGTTCTTGCAATTTTGCACATGCTAGGCCCTTGTTCTTGCAATTTTTCACACGCTAGGCCCTTGTTCTTGCAATTTTGCACACGCTAGGCCCTTGTTCTTGCAATTTTGCACACGCTAGGCCCTTGTTCTTGCAATTTTGCACACGCTAGGCACTTGTTCTTGCAAGTTAGCACACGCTAGGCCCTTGTTCTTGCAATTCTGCACATGCTAGGCCCTTGTTCTTGCTATTTTGCACACGCTAGACCCTTGTTCTTGCAATTTTGCACACGCTAGGCCCTTGTTCTTGCTATTTTGCGCACGCTAGACCCTTGTTCTTGCAATTTTGCACACACTAGGCCCTTGTTCTTGCAATTTTGCACACGCTAGACCCTTGTTCTTGCAATTTTGCACACGCTAGGCGCTTGTTCTTGCAATTTTGCACACGCTATGCCCTTTATCTTGCAATTTTGCACACGCTAGGCCCTTGTTCTTGCAATTTTGCACACGCTAGGCTCTTGTTCTTGCAATTTTGCACACGCTAGGCCATTGTTCTTGCAATTTTGCCCACGCTAGGCCCTTGTTCTTGTAATTTTTGTTGAGTGATGCTACCATTCGCATTCACGTCTGTCTGCCTCCCATCATATGTTCGTGCGTTGCATGCGTGTTGTGAGTGTGTGCAGAAATTTGTGTTTTGTGCGGTTTGGTTTTTCTGAGTGTGTGTGTGTGTGTGTGAATGTTATTTGGCTTGAGCAGATATCTGAAGTGACTCCTCTGCTCAAGAGCTTTCCGAGGAACCAAGTATCGCTTCAATCGGAGCACGAACAAGAAAGTTACGAACGTTGGAGTTCGTATGCTTTTCATATTTGGTTGTGGTGACTATGGGAAGTTGTGGGGTTGACTCAATATGGGGTACAGTCTTTTGAGGGTTGGGAAATTCGTCTTTTCTACTGTAGTTGCTGCCAAATGGTTGGGAGAAACCAAACCAGGCTGGCAAGTGTGGCCAAGTTGGGTTGAGGTGGATTGTGGAGGTTGGGATAGTGACAAAGGTCAACGTTGGGTTGCCTATGGGGAAGGGAATTGTATGGCATGGGGTTTCCCTGGTTGGGGACTCTTTTGGGACCTTCCCTCTAGTCCTCCTTATCCCTTCCACCTGGTTTAGTGCTACTCCAATTCTCTTGTGTGAACTTGTGTGAACTTTGTGATTGAGTTAAGATTCTATGGCAGCATACCCCCTAGTGCGCCGAAATTGATAGCTCAAGAAATACTTCACCTTTTCGCATGATTCAACTTGGGAATTGTAGCCATGGAGGAGAGCTACAGCATATTCGAGTTTGATGAAGTTTTGACTGTGAACGTTTCGTCGACAGCGTTTCTTGTGAACTCGACTTTTCTGTTCAGAAACTAGGCCCAACGATGTTGAGATATTTTGGCTACTAATCTTCATAGACTCCGTCCTTAGTCTCTAACAAGTGGTATCAGAGCTGATTAAGGACTTTGTGGAGAGTCTACTGAAGTGTGAAGACCCTCATAGACCCACGATGGCCTGTGGGCGTGCCTAAGTGGAGTTCTGGAGGTTGGATGTGACTTCCGCTAAGGGGAAACTCTGCCGAAATTTCGTTGGCGCCGACACTTGTGAAGATTGTGTGGATCTACATTTTGACCAGCAAAAGGGGGAGTTGAAACCTCTGATTGGGAGCAGAGGAGATGAATCAAGGGAGTGGAGATGCAGCTGAGAAGAGGAGTGAACCACCACCATCCAAGATCGAAGCTTTGGATGGCTCCAACTATGAGGAATGGAGTGGGCGGATGTGGAGCGCCTTCAAGCGCTACAAGCTACTGAAAATTGCAATGGGAGAAAAGAAGATGCCGGGGGAAGGAGATGCCCGCGATCGGTGGATTGAGAGGAGCGCGGTGCTGTACGACCTCATCCTCCAATCGGTCAACAACGACATGTTCCAGCACATCAAAGATTTGGTGGAGTTGGATGATTCCGGACCAAAGGCATGGAAGCTGCTACGCGACGTGATTCAGCCCAACACGCTGTCGATGGTGATTGTGTTGGAGAAGGAGTTGGCTGCCCTCTCCATGAAACCGGGAGATGATGTGAAACCGGTCCTTGACAAGATCAAGGACATCTATGCGAGGATGGCAGCGGCGGGCAGCGAAGTGTCGCAGATGCAACAGTGCACCAAGATCATCTCGGTGCTCGACAACTCGTGGGACAACCTCATCCCCACCCTCAACGTTCAGCAGGACAAATGGACGCCTGAGTGGCTACGGCAGCAGATTCTGCAAGAGGACTTCCGCAGGCGCCACACGGGAGGTGGTACTGCCAACAAAACTGTTGAGGGGTATGGAGCTGCAGGAGGCAGCAGAGGAAGAGGGGGAGGGAGAGGCCGAGGCCGTGGGAGAGGCTTTGGCAGAGGGAGAGGCCGAGGTGACTACAATGAGGGGCATGGGAGCTCTGGTGGCAGGGGGAGCACTCGAATGGAGGGTGCGTGCTGGTAGTGCAAGAAGGCTGGACACCCGTGGTTCAAGTGTTTCAGCCGGTTTGAGGGATGGGCCCCTCCAGGCATGAAGCCGCCAAGTGGTGAACGTGCACGCGGTGGCGCTGTGCAAGGATCAGGTGCACAAGGTGATGGTGCACAAGGTAAAGCCGACCCTGGGATGTTCCTCATGGTTGAGGATGTGCACGTCCATGTCCATGTCCACATCCACGTCCATATCCACGTCCACGTCCACGTCCACGTCAACTTCCACGTCCACATCCACGTCCACGTCCACGTCCATGTCCACGTCCACGTCCACGTCCACGACCATGTCCACGTCCACGTCCACGTCCACGTCCATGTCCATGTCCACGTTAGTCCACGTCCACGTCCACGTCCACGTCCAGGTCCACGTCCACGTCCACGTCCACGTCCACGACCACGTCCACGTCCACGTCAACGTCCACGTCCACGTCCACGTCCACGTCCACGTCCACGTCACGTCCACGTCCACGTCCACGTCCACGTCCACGTCCCTGTCCACGTCCACGTCCACGTCCGCGTCCGCGTCCACGTCCACGTCCACGTCACGTCCACGTCCACGTCCACGTCCACGTCCACGTCCGTCCACGTCCACGTCCGTCCACGTCCACGTCCGTCCACGTCCACGTCCACGTCCACGACCAGGTCCACGTCCACGACCACGTCCACGTCCACGTCCACGTCCACGTCCACGTCCACGTCACGTCCACGTCACGTCCACGTCACGTCCACGTCCACGTCCACGTCCACGTCCACGTCACGTCCACGTCCATGTCCACGTCCATGTCCACGTCCACGTCCATGTCCACGTCATGTCCACGTCCATGTCCACGTCACGTCCATGTCCACGTCCACGTCACGTCCATGTCCACGTGCACCTCCACGTCCACGTCCACGTCCACGTCCACGTCACGTCCACGTCCACGTCCACGTCCACGTCACGTCCACGTCCACGTCCATGTCCACGTCCATGTCCACGTCCATGTCCACGTCCACGTCACGTCCATGTCCACGTCCACGTCCACGTCGACGTTCACGTCCACGTCACGTCCACGTGCACGTCCACGTCCATGTCCATGTCCACGTCCATGTCCACGTCCACGTCCATGTCCACGTCCACGTCCACGTCCACGTCCACGTCCATGTCCACCACGTCCATGTCCACGTCCATGTCCACCACGTCCATGTCCACGTCCACGTCCACGTCCACGTCCACATCAACGTCCACGTCCACGTCCATGTCCACGTCCACGTCCACGTCCACGTCCACGTCCACGTCCACGTCCACGTCAACGTCCACGTCCACGTCCACGTCACGTCCATGTCCACGTCCACGTCCATGTCCACGTCCACGTCCACGTCCACGTCCACGTCCACGTCAACGTCCACGTCCACGTCCACGTCCACGTCACGTCCACGTCCACGTCCACGTCGACGTCGACGTCCACGACCACGTCCACGTCCACGTCCACGTCCACGTCCACCACCACGTCCACGTCCACGTCCACGTCCCGTCCACGTCCACGTCCATGTCCCGTCCACGTCCACGTCCACGTCCAGGTCCACGTCCACGTCCACGTCCACGTCCACGTCCACGACCACGTCCACGTCCACGTCCACGTCCACGTCAACGTCCACGTCCAGGTCCACGTCCACGTCCACGTCCACGTCACGTCCACGTCCACGTCCACGTCACGTCCAAGTCCACGTCCACGTCCACGTCCACGTCCACGTCCATGTCCACGTCCACGTCCACGTCCACGTCCACGTCCACGTTTTTGTCCACGTCCATGTCCACGTCCACGTCCACGTCCACATCCACGACCATGTCCACGTCCACGTCCACGTCCATGTCCACGTCCACGTCCACGTCCACGTCCACGTCCACGTCCACGTCCACGTTAACGTCCACGACCACGTCCACGTCCAGGTCCACGTCCACGACCACGTCCACGTCAACGTCCACGACCACGTCCACGTCCACGACCATGTCCACGTCCACGTCCACGTCCACGTCCACGTCCACGTCCACGTCCACGTCTACGTCCACGTCCACGTCCACGTCCACGTCCACATCCACGACCATGTCCACGTCCACGTCCACGTCCATGTCCACGTCCACGTCCACGTCCACGTCCACGTCCACGACCATGTCCACGTCCACGTCCACGTCCATGTCCAGGTCCACGTCCACGACCACGTCCACGTCCACGACCATGTCCACGTCCACGTCCACGTCCACGTCCACGTCCACGTCCACGTCCACGTCCACGTCCACGTCCACGTCCACGTCCACGTCCACATCCACGACCATGTCCACGTCCACGTCCACGTCCATGTCCACGTCCACGTCCACGTCCACGTCCACGTCCACGACCATGTCCACGTCCACGTCCACGTCCACGTCCACGTTAACGTCCACGACCACGTCCACGTCCAGGTCCACGTCCACGACCACGTCCACGTCAACGTCCACGACCACGTCCACGTCCACGACCATGTCCACGTCCACGTCCACGTCCACGTCCACGTCCATGTTACGTCCACATCCACGTCCACGTCCACGTCCATGTCCACGTCCACGTCCACGTCCACGTCCACGTCCCGTCCACGTCCACGTCCATGTCCCGTCCACGTCCACGTCCATGTCCACGTCCCGTCCACGTCCACGTCCATGTTCACGTCCACGTCCACCTCCACGTCCACGTCCACGTCCACGTCCACGACCATGTCCACGTCCACAACCACGTCCACGTCCACGTTACGTCCACGTCCACGTCCACGTTACGTCCACGTCCACGTCCACGTCCACGTCCACGTCTACGTCCACGTCCACGTCCACGTCCACGACCACGTCCATGTCCACGTCCATGTCCACGTCCACGTCCATGTCCACGTCCAGGTCCACGTCCACGTCCACGACCACGACCACGTCCACGTTAACGTCCACGACCACGTCCACGTCCACGTCCACGTCCACGTCGACGTCCATGTCCAGTCCACGTCCACGTCCACGTCCACGTCCAAGTCCACGTCCACATCCACGTCCACATCCACGTCCATGTCAACGTCCACGTCCACGTGCACGTGCACGTCCACGTCCACGTCCAGGTCCATGTTACGTCCACGTCCACATCCACGTCCACGTCTACGTCCACGTCCATGTCAACGTCCACGTCCACGTCCACGTCCACGTCCACGTCCATGTCCACGTCCACGTCCACGTCCACGTCCACGTCCACGTCCACGTCCACGTCAACGTCCACGTCCACGTCCACGTCCACACGTCCACGTCCACGTCAACGTCCACGTCCACGTCCATGTCCACGTCCATGTCCACGTCTACGTCCACGTCCACGTCCACGTCCACGTCCACGTCCACGTCCATGTCCATGTCGACGTCCACGTCCACGTCCACGTCCACGTCCATGTCCACGTCTACGTCCACGTCCCCGTCCACGTCCACGTCCATGTCCATGTCGACGTCCACGCCCACGTCCACGTCCACGTCCATGTCCACGTCCACGTCCACGTCCATGTCCATGTCGACGTCCGCGTCCACGTCCATGTCCTCGTCCACGTCCACGTCCACGTCCATGTCTACGTCCACGTTACGTCCACGTCCACATCCACGTCCATGTCCACGTCTACGTCCACGTCCACGTCCACGTCCACGTCCATGTCGACGTCCACGTCCACGTCCACGTCCACGTCCATGTCCACGTCCACGTCCACGTCCACGTCCACGTCCACGTCCACGTCCAAGTCCACGTCCACGTCCACGTCCACGTCCACGTCCAAGTCCACGTCCACGTCCAAGTCCACGTCCACGTCCACGTCGACGTCCAGGTCCACGTCCACGTCCACGTGCAAGTGCACGTCCACGTCCACATCCACGTCCATGTTACGTCCACGTCCACGTCCACGTCCACGTCTACGTCCATGTCCACGTCCACGTCCACGTCCACGTCCACGTCCACGACCATGTCCACGACCACATCCACGTCCACGTCCACGTCCACGTCCACGTCCATGTCCACGACCACGTCCACGTCCACGTCCACGTCCACGTTTTTGTCCACGTCCACGTCCACGTCCACGTCCAGGTCCACGGCCACGTTACGTCCACGTCCACCTCCACGTCCACGTCCACGTCCACGTCCACGACCACGTACTCCACGTCCACGTCCACATCCTCCACATCCACGTCCACCTCCACGTCCACGTCCACGTCCACGTCCACCTCCACCTCCACGTCCACGTCCACGTCCACGTCCACGTCCACGACCATGTCCACGTCCACGTCCACATCCAGGTCCACGTCCACGTCCACGTCCACGTCCACGTCCACGTCCACGTCCTCGTCCACCTCCACGTCCACGTCCACGTCCACGTCCACGTCCACGTACTCGTCCACGTCCACGTCCACGTCGACGTCCACGTCCACGTCCACGTCCACGTCCACGTCCATGTCCACGTCGACGTCCGCGTCCATGTCCACGTCGACGTCCGCGTCCACGTCCACGTCGACGTCCGCGTCCACGTCCACGTCCACGTCCACGTCCACGTCCACGTCCATGTCCATGTCCACGTCCACGTCCATGTCCATGTCGACGTCCGCGTCCACGTCCATGTCCTCGTCCGCGTCCACGTCCACGTCCACGTCCATGTCTACATCCACGTCCACGTCCACGTTCACGTCCACGTCCAGGTCCACGTCCACGTCCACGTCCACGTCCACGTCCACGTCCACGTCCACGTCCACGTCCACGTCCACGTCACGTCCACGTCACGTCCACGTCCACGTCCACGTCCACGTCACGTCCACGTCACGTCCACGTCCACGTCCACGTCCACGTCCACGTCCACGTCCATGTCCATGTCCATGTCGACGTCCACGTCTACGTCCACGTCCATGTCCACGTCCACGTCCATGTCCATGTCCATGTCGACGTCCACGTCCACGTCCATGTCCACGTCCACGTCCACGTCCACGTCCATGTCCACGTCCACGTCCACGTCCACGTCCACGTCCACGTCCATGTCCATGTCGACGTCCACGTCCACGTCCACGTCCACGTCCACGACCATGTCCACGTCCACGTCCAGTCCACGTCCACGTCCACGTCCACGTCCACGTCCCGTCCAGTCCACGTCTGCGTCCACGTCCACGTCCACGTCCACGTCCACGCCCACGTCCACGCCCACGTCCACGCCCACGTCCACGACCGCGTCCACGTCCACGACCGCGTCCACGACCACGTCCACGTCTATGTCCACGTCCACGTCCACGTCCACGTCCACGTCCACGACCACGTCTACGTCCACGTCCACGTCCACGACCAGGTCCACGACCATGTCCACGTCCACGACCAGGTCCACGACCAGGTCCACGTCCACGTCCATGTCCACGTCCACGTCCATGTCCACGTCCACGTCCACGTCCACGACATGTCCACGTCCATATTCACGTCCATATTCATGTCCACGTCCATGTCCACGTCCATGTCCACGTCCACGTCCACGTCCACGTCCACGTCCACGTCAACGTCCACATCCACGTCCACGTCCACGTCAACGTCCACGTCCACGTCCACGTCCACGTCCACGTCCACGTCCACGTCCACGTCCACATCCACTTCCACGTCCTCTTCCACGTCCACGTCCACGTCAACGTCCACGTCCACGTCCACGTCCACGTCCACGACCACGTCCACGTCCACGTCCACGTCCACGTCCACGTCCGTCCACGTCCACGTCCACGTCCACGTCCACGTCCACGTCCAAGTCCACGTCCACGTCCACGTCCACGTCCAGGTCAACGTCCACGTCCATGTCCACGTCCACGTCCACGTCCACGTCCACGTCCACGTCCACGTCCACGTCCACGTCCACGTCCACGTCCATGTCCACGTCCACGTCCACGTCTACGTCCACGTCCACGTCCACGTCCACGTCCACGTCCATGTCCACGTCCACGTCCACCTCCACGTCCACGTCCACGTCCCCGTCCACGTCCACGTCCACGTCCACCTCCACGTCCACCTCCACGTCCACCTCCACGTCCACCTCCGCGTCCACCTCCGCGTTCACGTCCACGTCCATGTCCACCTCCACGTCCACGTCCACGTCCACCTCCACGTCCACCTCCACGTCCACCTCCACGTCCACGTCCACGTCCACGTCCACGTCCACGTCCACGTCCACGTCCACTTCCACGTCCACGTCCACGTCCACGTCCACGTTCAGGTCCACGTCCACGTCCACGTCCACGTCCAAGTTCACGTCCACGTCCACGTCCACGTCCACGTCCAGGTCCACGTCCACGTCCACGTCCACGTCCACGTCCAAGTCCTCGTCCACCTCCACGTCCACGTCCACGTCCACCTCCACCTCCACCTCCACGTCCACCTCCACGTCCACCTCCACGTCCACCTCCACGTCCACGTCCACGTCCACGTCCACGTCCACGTCCACGTCCACGTCCACGTCCACGTCCACGTGCACGTCCACGACCACGTCCACGTCCACGTCCACGTCCACGTCCACGTCCACGTCCATGTCAACGTCCAGGTCCACGTCGACGTCGACGTCCACGTCCACGTCCACGTCCACGTCGACGTCCAAGTCCACGTCCACGTCCACGTCCACGTCCACGACCACGTCCACGTCCACGTCCACGTCCATGTCCACGTCCAGGTCCACGTCGACGTCCACGTCCACGTCCAAGTCCACGTCCACGTCCACGTCCACGTCCACGTCCACGACCACGTCCACGTCCACGTCCACGTCCACGTCCACGTCCACGTCCACGTCCACGTCCACCTCACGTCCACGTCCACGTCAACGTCCACGTCCACGTCCACGTCCACGTCCACGTCCACCTCCACGTCCACCTCCACGTCCACCTCCACGTCCACGTCCACGTCCACCTCCACGTCCACGTCCACGTCCACGTCCACGTCCACGCCCACGTCCACGTACACGTCCACCGTCCACGTCCACGTCCACGTCCACGTCCACGTCCACGTCCACGTGCACGTCCACGACATGTCCACGTCCATCTTCACGTCCACGTCCATATTCACGTCCACGTCCAGGTCCACGTCCAGGTCCACGTCCACGTCCACGTCCACGTCCAGGTCCACGTCCACGTCCACGTCCACGTCCACGTCCACGTCCACGTCCACGTCCACGTCCACGTCAACGTCCACGTCCACGTCCACGTCAACGTCCACTTCCACGTCCTCTTCCACGTCCACGTCCACGTCCACGTCCACGTCCACGTCCACGTCCACGTCCACGTCCGTCCACGTCCACGTCCATGTCCACGTCCACGTCCACGTCCACGTCCACGTCCAAGTCCACGTCCACGTCCACGTCCAAGTCCACGTCCAGGTCAACGTCCACGTCCATGTCCACGTCCACGTCCACGTCCACGTCCACGTCCACGTCCACGTCCACGTCCACGTCCACGTCCACGTACACGTCCACGTCCACGACATGTCCACGTCCATATTCACGTCCATATTCATGTCCACGTCCACGTCCACGTCCATGTCCATGTCCACGTCCACGTCCACGTCCACGTCAACGTCCACGTCCATGTCCACGTCCACGTCCACGTCCACGTCCACGTCCATGTCCACGTCCACGTCCACGTCCACGTCCACGTCCTCTTCCACGTCCACGTCCACGTCCACGTCCACGTCCACGTCCATGTCCATATCCACGTCCACGTCCACGTCCATGTCCACGTCCACGTCCACGTCCACGTCCACGTCCACGACCACGTCCACGTCCACGTCCACGTCCACGTCCACGTCCACGTCCATGTCCATATCCATGTCCACGTCCATGTCCACGTCCATGTCCACGTCCACGTCCATGTCCACGTCCATGTTTACGTCCACGTCCACGTCCATATCTACGTCCATATCCACGTCCACGTCCAGGTCCACGTCCACGTCCACGTCCACGTCCACGTCAACGTCCATGTCAACGTCCATGTCCACGTCCACGTCCAGGTCCACGTCCACGTCCACGTCCACGTCCACGTCCACGTCCATGTCCACGTCCACGTCCACGTCCACGTCCACGTCCACCTCCACGTCCACGTCCACGTCCACGTCCACGTCCACGTCCACCTCCACGTCCACGTCCACATCCACGTCCACGTCCACGTCCACGTCTACGTCCACGTCCACGTCCACGTCCACGTCCACGTCCAGGACCACGTCCACGACCGCGTCCACGACCGCGTCCACGACCACGTCCACATCTATGTCCACGTCCACGTCCACGTCCACGTCCTTGTCCACGTCCACGTCCACGTCCACGTCCACGACCAGGTCCACGACCATGTCCACGTCCACGTCCACGTCCACGTCCACGTCCACGTCCACGTACACGTCCACGTCCACGACATGTCCACGTCCATATTCACGTCCATATTCATGTCCACGTCCACGTCCACGTCCATGTCCACGTCCACGTCCACGTCCACGTCCACGTCAACGTCCACGTCCATGTCCACGTCCACGTCCACGTCCACGTCCACGTCCATGTCCACGTCCACGTCCACGTCCACGTCCACGTCCTCTTCCACGTCCACGTCCACGTCCACGTCAACGTCCACGTCCACGTCCACGTCCACGTCCATGTCCATGTCCACGTCCACGACCACGTCCACGTCCACGTCCACGACCACGTCCACGTCCACGTCCACGTCCACGTCCACGTCCACGTCCATGTCCATATCCATGTCCACATCCATGTCCACGTCCATGTCCATATCCATGTCCACGTCCATGTCCACGTCCATGTCCACGTCCACGTCCATGTCCACGTCCATGTTCACGTCCACGTCCACGTCCACGTCCATCTCCACGTCCATATCCACGTCCACGTCCATGTCCACGTCCACGTCCACGTCCACGTCCACGTCAACGTCCATGTCAACGTCCATGTCCACGTCCACGTCCATGTCCACGTCCACGTCCACGTCCACGTCCATGTCCACGTCCACGTCCACGTCCACGTCCATGTCCACGTCCACGTCCACGTCAACGTCCACGTCCACGTCCACGTCCACGTCCACGTCCACGTCAACGTCCACGTCCATGTCCACGTCTACGTCCACGTCCACGTCCATGTCCACGTCCATGTCCACGTCCACGTCGAGGTCCACGTCCACGTCCACGTCCACGTCCACGTCCATGTCCATGTCCACGTCCACGTCCACGTCCACGTCCACGTCCACCTCCACGTCCACGTCCACGTCCACGTCCACGTCCACCTCCACGTCCACCTCCACGTCCACCTCCACGTCCACGTCCACGTCCACGTCCACTTCCACGTCCACGTCCACGTCCACCTTCACGTTCATGTCCACGTCCACGTCCACGTCCACGTCCACGTCCACGTCCAGGTTCACGTCCACGTCCACGTCAACGTCCACGTCCACGTCCACGTCCACGTCCACGTCCACGTCCAGGTCCACGTCCACGTCCACGTCCACGTCCATGTCCACGTCCACGTCCACGTCCACGTCCAGGTCCACGTCCACGTCCACGTCCACGACCAGGTCCACGTCCACGTCCACGTCCACGTCCATGTCCACGTCCACGTCCACGTCCATGTCAACGTCCACGTCCACGTCCACGTCCACGTCCACGTTCACGTCCACGTCCATGTCCACTTCTACGTCCACGTCCATGTCCACGTCCAAGTCCTCCACGTCCACGACCACGTCCACGTCCACGTCCACGTCCACGTCCACGTCCACGACCACGTCCACGTCCACGTCCACGACCACGTCCACGACCACGTCCACGTCCACGACCACGTCCACGACCACGTCCACGTCCACGACCACGTCCAAGTCCTCCACGTCCACCTCCACGTCCACCTCCACGTCCACCTCCACGTCCACGTCCACGTCCACGTCCACGTCAACGTCCACGTCCACGTCCACGTCCACGTCCACGTCCACGTCCACGTCCACGACCACGTCCACGTCCACGTCCACGTCCACGTCCACGTCCACGTCCACGTCCACGTCCATGTCCACGTCCAGGTCCACGTCGACGTCCACGTCCACGTCCACGTCGACGTCCAAGTCCACGTCCACGTCCACGTCCACGTCCACGTCCACGTCCACGACCACGTCCACGTCCACGACCACGTCCACGTCCACCTCCACGTCCACGTCCACCTCCACGTCCACGTCCACGACCACGTCCACGTCCACGTCCACATCCACGGCCACCTCCACGTCCACCTCCACGTCCACGTCCACGTCCACGTCCACGTCCACCTCCACGTCCACGCCCACGTCCACGTCCACGTCCACGCCCACGTCCACGTACACGTCCACCGTCCACGACCACGTCCACGTCCACGTCCACGACCACGTCCACGACCACGTCCATGTCCACGTCCACGTCCACGTCCACGTTCACGTCCACGTCCACGACCACGTCCACGTTCACGTCCACGTCCACGTCCACGTCCACGTCCACGACCACGTCCACGTCCACGACCACGTCCACGTCCATGTCCACGTCCACGTCCACGTCCACGTCCACGTCCATGTCCACGTCCACGTCCACGTCAACGTCCACGTCCATGTCCACGTCCACGTCCACGTCCATGTCCACGTCCACGTCCACGTCCACGTCCACGTCCACGTCCACGTCCATGTCCACGTCCACGTCCACGTCCACGTCCACGTCCATGTCCACGTCCACGTCCACGTCCACGTCCATGTCCACGTCCACGTCCACGTCCACGTCCATGTCCACGTCCACGTCCACGTCCACGTCCATGTCCACGTCCACGTCCACGTCTACGTCCACGTCCACGTCCACGTCCACGTCCACGTCCACGTCCACGTCCACGTCCAAGTCCACCTCCACGTCCACGTCCACGTCCACGTCCACGTCCACGTCCACGACCACGTCCACGTCCACGTCCACGACCACGTCCACGTCCACGTCCACGTCCACGTCCACGTCCACCTCCACCTCCACCTCCACGTCCACGTCCACGACCACGTCCACGTCCACGTCCACGTCCACGTCCACGTCCACCTCCACGTCCACGTCCACGTCCACATCCACGTCCACCTCCACCTCCACGTCCACCTCCACGTCCACCTCCACGTCCACCTCCACGTCCACGTCCACGTCCACGTCCACGCCCACGTCCACGTACACGTCCACCGTCCACGACCACGTCCACGTCCACGTCCACGACCACGTCCACGTCCACGTCCACGTCCACGTCCACGTTCACGTCCACGTCCACGTCCACGTCCACGTCCACGTTCATGTCCACGTCCACGTCCACGTCCACGTCCACGTCAACGTCCACGTCCACGTCCACGTCCACGTACACGACCACGTCCACGTCCACGTCCACGTCCAAGTCCACGTCCACGTCCACGTCCACGTCCACGTCCATGTCCACGTCCACGTCCACGTTCACGTCCACGTCCACGTCCACGTCCACGTCCACGTCCATGTCCACGTCCACGTCCACGTTCACGTCCACGTCCACGTCCACGTCCACGTCCACGTCTACGTCCACGTCCACGTCCACGACTTGTCCACGTCCATATTCACGTCCACGTCCATATCCACGTCCACGTCCACGTCCACGTCCAGGTCCACGTCCACGTCTACGTCCACGTCCACGTCCACTTCCACGTCCACGTCCACGTCCACGTCGACGTCAACGTCCACGTCCACGTCCACGACCACGTCCACGTCCACGTCCACGTCCACGACCACGTCCATGTCCACGTCCACGTCCACGACCACGTCCACGACCACGTCCACGTCCACGTCCACGTCCACGTCAACGTCCACGTCCACGTCCACGTCCACGTCCACGTCCAAGTCCACGTCCACGTCCACGACCACGTCCACGTCCATGTCCACGTCCACGTCCACGTCCACGACCACGTCCATGACCACGTCCACGTCCACGTCCACGACCACGTCCACGACCACGTCCACGACCACGTCCACGTCCACGTCCACGTCCACGTCCACGTCCACGTCCACGTCCATGTCCAGGTCCACGTCCACGTCCACGACCACGTCCACGTCCACGTCCACGTCCACGACCACGTCCACGTCCACGTCCACGTCCACGTCCACGCCCACGTCCACGATCAGGTCCACGACCATGTCCACGTCCACGTCCATGTCCACGTCCACGTCCACGTCCACGTCCACGTCCACGTACACGTCCACGTCCACGACATCTCCACGTCCATATTCACGTCCATATTCATGTCCACGTCCATGTCCACGTCCATGTCCACGTCCACGTCCACGTCCACGTCAACGTCCACGTCCATGTCCACGTCCACGTCCACGTCCATGTCCACGTCCACGTCCACGTCAACGTCCACGTCCACGTCCACGTCCACGTCCACGTCCATGTCCACGTCTACGTCCACGTCCACGTCCACGTCCACGTCCAGGTCCACGTCCACGTCCACGTCCACCTCCACCTCCACCTCCACGTCCACGTCCACGTCCACGTCCACGTCCACGTCCACGACCACGTCCACGACCACGTCCACGACCACGTCCACGTCCACGTCCACGTCCACGTCCACGTCCACGTCCACGTCCACGTCCACGTCCACGTCCACGACCACGTCCACGACCACGTCCACGTCCACGTCCACGTCCACGTCCACGACCACGTCCACGTCCACGTCCACGTCCACGTCCACATCCACGACCACGTCCACGTCCACGTCCACGTCCACGTCCACATCAACGTCCACGTCAACGTCCACGACCACGTCCACGACCACGTCCACGTCCACGTCCACGTCCACGTCCACGTCTACGACCACGTCCACGACCACGTCCACGTCCACGTTTACGTCCACGTCCACGTCCACGTCCACGTCCACGTCCACGACCACGTCCACGACCACGTCCACGTCCACGTCCACGTCCACGACCACGTCCACGTCCACGTCCACGTCCACGTCCACGTCCACGACCACGTCCACGACCACGTCCACGTCCACGACCAGGTCCACGTCCACGTCCACGTCCACGTCCACGTCCACGACCACGTCCACGTCCCTGTCCACGTCCACGTCCACGTCCACGTCCACGTCCACGTCCACGTCCACGACCATGTCCACGACCGTGTCTACGTCTACGTCCACGTCCACGTCCACGTCCACGTCCACGTCCACGTCCATGTCCACGTCCACGTCCACGTTGACGTCCACGTCCACGTCCACGACCATGTCCGCGTCCACGTCCACGTCCACGTCCACGTCCACGTCCATGTCCACGTCCACGTCCAGGTCCACGTCCACGTCAACATCCACGTCCACGTCCACGTCCACGTCCACGACCACGTCCACGTCAACGTCCACGTCCACGTCCACGTCCACGTCCATGTCCACGACCACGTCCATGTCCACGACCACGTCCACATCCACGTCCACGTCCACGTCCACGTCCACAACCACGACCACGACGACGTCGACGACCACGTCGACGACCACGTCCACGTCCACGTCCATGTCCACGTCCACGTCAACATCCACGTCCATGTCCACGTCCACGTCCACGTCCACGACCACGTCCACGTCAACGTCCACGTCCACGTCCACGTCCACGTCCATGTCCACGACCACGTCCATGTCCACGACCACGTCCACATCCACGTCCACGACCACGTCCACATCCACGTCCACGTCCACGTCCACGACCACGACGACGTCCACGACCACGTCCACGACGACGTCCACGTCCACGACCATGTCCAGGTCCATGTCCACGTCCATGTCCACGACCATGTCCACGTCCACGTCCATGTCCACGTCCACGTCCACGTCCACGTCCACGTCCACGTCTATGTCCACGTCCACGTCCACCTCCACGTCCACGTCCACGTCCACGTCCACCTCCACGTCCACGTCCACGTCCACCTCCACCTCCACGTCCATGTCCACGTCCATGTCCACGTCCACTTCCACGTCCACGTCCACGTCCATGTCCACGTCCACGTCCACGACCATGTCCACGTCCACTTCCACGTCCTTGTCCACGTCCATGTCCACGTTCACGTCCACGTCCACGACCATGTCCACGTCCACTTCCACGTTCACGTCCACGTCCACGTCCACGTCCACGACCATGTCCACATCCACGTCCACGTCCACGTCCACGTTCACGTCCACGTCCACGTCCACGTCCACGACCATGTCCACGTCCATGTCCACGTCCACGTCCACGTCCACGTCCACATCCACGACCATGTCCACGTCCATGTCCACGTCCACGACCAGGTCCACGTCCACGTCCACATCCACGTCCATGTCCATGTCCACGTCCACGTCCACGTCCACTTCCACGTCCACGTCCACGTCCACGTCCAGGTCCACGTCCACGTCCACGTCCACGTCCACGTCCACTTCCACGTCCACGTCCAGGTCCACGTCCAGGTCCACGTCTACGTCCACGTCCACGTCCACGACCATGTCCACGTCCAGGTCCACGTCCACGTCCATGTCCACGTCCACCTCCACGTCCACGACCACGTCCACGACCACGTCCACGTCCACGTCCACGTCCACGTCCACGTCCACCTCCACGACCACGTCCACGTCCACGTCCACGTCCACGACCACGTCCATGTCCACGTCCACGTCCACGTCCACGACCACGTCCACGTCCATGTCCACGTCCACGTCCACGTCCACGTCCACGTCCACGTCCACATCCACGTCCACGTCCATGTCCACGACCATGTCCACGTCCACGTCCACGTCCACGTCCATGTCCACGTCCACGTCCACGTCCACGTCCACGACCACGTCCACGACCACGTCCACGTCCACGTCCACGTCCACGTCCACGTCCACGTCCACGACCACGTCCACGACCACGACCATGTCCACGTCCACGTCCACGTCCACGTCCACGACCACGACCACGACCACGTCCACGTCCACGTCCACGTCCACGTCCACGACCACGTCCACGTCCACGTCCACGTCCACGTCCATGTCGACGTCCACGTCCACGTCCATGTCCACGACCACGTCCAGGTCCACGTCCACGTCCACGTCCACGTCCACGACCACGACCACGTCCACGTCCACGTCCATGTCCACGACCACGTCCATGTCCACGTCCACGTCCACGTCCACGTCCACGACCACGACCACGACCATGTCCACGACCACGTCGACGTCCACGACCACGTCCACGTCCACGTCCACGTCCACGTCCACGACCATGTCCTTGTCCATGTCCACGTCCACGTCCACGTCCACGTCCACGTCCACCTCCACATCCACGTCCACGTCCACGACCACGTCCACGTCCAGGTCCACGTCCACGTCCACGTCCAGGTCCACGTCCAGGTCCACGTCCACGTCCACGTCCACGTCCACGTCCATGTCCACGTCCACGTCCACGTCCACCTCCACGTCCATGTCCACGACCACGTCCACGTCCATGTCCACGTCCACGTCCACGTCCACGACCATGTCCACGTCCACGTCCACGTCCACGTCCACGACTATGTCCACGTCCACGTCCACGTCCACGACCACGTCCACGTCCACGTCCACGTCCACGACCACGACCACGTCCACGACCACGTCCACGTCCACGTCCACGTCCACGACCACGTCCATGTCCACGTCCACGTCCATGTCCACGACCATGTCCACGTCCACGACCATGTCCACGTCTACGTCCACGTCCACGTCCACGTCCACGTCTATGTCCACGTCCACGTCCACCTCCACATCCACGTCCACGTCCACGTCCACCTCCATGTCCACGTCCACGTCCACGTCCACGTCCACGTCGACGTCCACGTCCATGTCCACGTCCATGTCCACGTCCACTTCCACGTCCACGTCCACGTCCATGTCAACGTCCACGTCCACGACCATGTCCACGTCCACTTCCACGTCCTTGTCCACGTCCATGTCCACGTTCACGTCCACGTCCACGTCCACGTCCACGTCCACGTCCACGTCCACGACCACGTCCACGTCCACGTCCACGTCCATGTCCACGACCAAGTCCACGTCCACGACCATGTCCACGTCCACGTCCATGTCCACGTCCACGTCCACATCCACGTCCATGTCCACGTCCACGTCCACCTCCACGTCCACGTCCACGTCCACGACCATGTCCACGTCCATGTCCACGTCCACGTCCACGTCCACGTCCACGTCCACGACCATGTCCACGTCCGCTTCCACGTCCTCGTCCACGTCCCCGTCCACGTCCACGTCCACGACCATGTCCACGTCCACTTCCACGTCCTTGTCCAAGTCCATGTCCACGTCCACGTCCACGTCCACGTGTCCACGTTCACGTCCACATCCACGTCCACGTCCATGACCATGTCCACGTCCACGTCCACGTCCACGTCCATGTCGACGTCCACGTCCACGTCCACGTCCACGACCATGTCCACGTCCACGTCCACGTCCATGTCCACGTCCACGTCCACGTCCACGTCCACGTCCACGTCCACGCCCACGTCCACGTCCACGTCCACGTCCACGTCCACGTCCATGTCCACGTCCATGTCCACGTCCACTTCCACGTCCACGTCCACGTCCATGTCCACGTCCACGTCCACGACCATGTCCACGTCCACTTCCACGTCCTTGTCCACGTCCATGTCCACGTCCACGTCCATGTCCACGTCCACGTCCACGTCCACGTCCACGTCCACGTTCACGTCCACGTCCACGTCCACGTCCGCGTCCGCGACCGCGTCCACGGTCCAGCGTCCACGACCGCGTCCACGTCCAGCGTCCCCGTCCAGGTCCGCGTCCAGGTCGCGTCCACGTCCCCGTCCAGGTCCGCGTCCAGGTCGCGTCCACGTCCAGGTCCGCGTCCACGTCCCCGTCCGCGTCCGCGTCCACGTCCGCGTCCACTTCCACGTCCACGTCCACGTCCACGACCGCGTGGTCATGGGCGTACCATTCTCCCCGCCCCATTCTCCCGCTTTCCATCACCCCGTCCCATTCTCCCGCTTTCCATCACCCCGCCCCATTCTCCCGCTTTCCATCACCCCGCCCCATTCTCCCGCTTTCCATCACCCCGCCCCATTCTCCTGCTTTCCATCACCCCGCCCCATTCTCCCGCTTTCCATCACCCCGCCCCATTCTCCCGCTTTCCATCACCCCGCCCCATTCTCCCTCCTTCCATCACCCCGCCCAATTCTCCCGCTTTCCATCACCCCGCCCCATTCTCCCTCCTTTCATCACCCCGCCCCATTCTCCCTCTTTCCATCACCCCGCCCCATTCTCCCGCTTTCCATCACCCCGCCACATTCTCATTTTTTCCATCACCCAGCCCCATTCTCCCTCTTTCCATCACCCTGCCCCATTCTCCCGCTTTCCATCACCCCGCCACATTCTCCCTTTTTCCATCACCCCGCCCCATTCTCCATCACCCCGCCCCATTCTCCCGCTTTCCATCACCCCGCCCCATTCTCCCGCTTTCCATCACCCCGCCCCATTCTCCTGCTTTCCATCAACCCGCCCCATTCTCCCTCTTTCCATCACCCCGCCCCTCTCTCCTGCTTTCCATCACTCCGCCCCTGCTTTCCATCACCCCGCCCCATTCTCCCTCTTTCCATCACCCCGCCCCATTCTCCCTCCTTCCATCACCCCGCCCCATTCTCCCGCTTTCCATCACCCCGCCCCATTCTCCCTCTTTCCATCACCCCGCCCCTCTCTCCTGCTTTCCATCACTCCGCCCCATTCTCCCTCTTTCCATCACCACGCCCCATTCTCCCTCTTTCCATCACCCCGCCCCATTCTCTCGCTTTCCATCACCCCGCCCCATTCTCCCTCTTTCCATCACCCTGCTCCATTCTCCCTCTTTCCATCACCTCGCCCCATTCTCTCGCTTTCCATCACCCAGCCCTATTCTCCCGCTTTCCATCACCCCGCCCCATTCTCCCACTTTCCATCACCCCGCCCCATTGTCCTGCTTTCCATCACCCCGCCCCATTCTCCCTCTTTCCATCACCCCGCCCCATTCTCCTGCTTTCCATCACCCCGCCCCATTCTCCCTCTTTCCATCACCCCGCCCCATTCTCCCGCTTTCCATCACCCCGCCCCATTCTCCCTCTTTCCATCACCCTGCCCCTCTCTCCTGCTTTCCATCACTCCGCCCCTGCTTTCCATCACCCCGCCCCATTCTCCCTCTTTCCATCACCCCGCCCCATTCTCCCTCCTTCCATCACCCCGCCCCATTCTCCCGCTTTCCATCACCCCGCCCCATTCTCCCTCTTTCCATCACCCCGCCCCTCTCTCCTGCTTTCCATCACTCCGCCCCATTCTCCCTCTTTCCATCACCACGCCCCATTCTCCCTCTTTCCATCACCCCGCCCCATTCTCTCGCTTTCCATCACCCCGCCCCATTCTCCCTCTTTCCATCACCCTGCTCCATTCTCCCTCTTTCCATCACCTCGCCCCATTCTCTCGCTTTCCATCACCCAGCCCTATTCTCCCGCTTTCCATCACCCCGCCCCATTCTCCCACTTTCCATCACCCCGCCCCATTGTCCTGCTTTCCATCACCCCGCCCCATTCTCCCTCTTTCCATCACCCCGCCCCATTCTCCCGCTTTCCATCACCCCGGCCCATTATCCCCTTTCCATCACCCCGCCCCATTCTCCCGCTTTCCATCACCCCGCCCCATTCTCCCGCTTTCCATCACCCCGCCTCATTCTCCCGCGTTCCATCACCCCGTCCCATTCTCCTGCTTTCCATCACCCTGCCCCATTCTCCATCTTTCCATCACCCTGCCCCATTCTCCCGCTTTCCATCACCCCGCCACATTCTCCTACTTTCCATCACCCCGCCCCATTCTCCCTCTTTCCATCACCCCGCCCCATTCTCCCGCTTTCCATCACCCCGCCCCATTCTCCCGCTTTCCATCACCCCGCCCCATTCTCCCGCTTTCCATCACCCCGCCTTATTCTCCCTCTTTCCATCACCCCGCCCCATTCTCCCGTTTTCCATCACCCCGCCCCGTTCTCCCGCTTTCCATCACCCAGCCCCATTCTCCCGTTTTCCATCACCCCGCCCCGTTCTCCCGCTTTCCATCACCCCGCCCCATTCTCCCTCTTTAGCTTTTCCTTAGCATTTGTGTGCAGGCACGGCCGTCGTCGCGGGCGCCGAACTTTTCTGTGCGCGCGAACCACGCTGAAGTTGCTCTAGTAGGTGTATTTGAACATGGGCCACTCAAATAGGCAACAATATCCGGGTCGTTGGATGCTTTTCCCTACGCCTATAGGGATCCGTGCGTTTTTTTTCGCATTTGTGTGCAGGCACGGCCGTCGCCACGGGAGCCGAACTTTTATGTGCGCGAACCAAGCTAAAGTTACTCTGGTAGGTGTATTTGAACATGGGACACCCAAATATGCAACAATATCAGGGTCGTTGGATGCTTTTTCCTACGCCTATAGGGATCCGTGCGCTTCCTTAGCATTTGTGGGTAGGCACGGCCGTCGTCGCGGGCGCCGAACCTTTCTGTGCGCGCGAACCAAGCTGGAGTTGCTCTGGTAGGTGTATCTCAAAATGGGTCACCCGAATATGCAACAATATTCGGGTCGTTGGATGCTTTTCCCTATGCCTATAGGGATCCATGCGCTTCCTTAGCATTTGTGCGCAGGCACGGCCGTCGTCGCGGGCGCCGAACTTTTCTGTGCGCGCGAACCAAGCTGGAGTTGCTCTGGTAGGTGTATTTCAACATGGGCCACCCGAATATGCAACAATATTCTGGTCGTTGGATGCTTTTCCCTACGCCTATAGGGATCCGTGCGCCTCCTTAGCATTTGTGCGCAGGCACGCCCGTCGTCACGGGCGCCGAACTTTTCTGTGCGCGCGAACCAAGCTGGAGTTGCTCTGGTAGGTGTATTTGAACATGGGCCACATGAATCTGCAACAATATTCGGGTTGTTGGATGCTTTTCCCTACGCCTATAGGGATCCGTGCGCTTCCTTAGCATTTGTGCGCAGGCACGGCCGTCGTCGCGGGCGCGGAACATTTTTGTGTGCGCCAACCAAGCTGAAGTTGGTCTGGTAGGTGTATTTGAACATGGGCCACCTGAGTATGCAACAATATCCGGGTCGTTGGATGTTTTTCCCTACGCCTATAGGGATCCGTGCGCTTCCTTAGCATTTGTGTGCAGGCACGGCCGTCGTCGCGGGCGCCGAACATTTCTGTGCGCGCGAACCAAGTCGAAGTTGCTCTGGTAGGTGTATTTGAACATGGGCCACCCGAATATGCAACAATATCCGGGTCCTTGGATGCTTTTCCCTACGCCTATAGGGATCCGTGCGCTTCCTTAGCATTTGTGTGCGGGCAAGGCCGTCTTCGCGGGCGCTTAACATTTCTGTGCGTGAGAACCAAACTGAAGTTGCTCTGGTAGGTGTATTTGAACATGGGCCACCCAAATATGCAACAATATCCGCGTCGTTGGGTGCTTTTCCCTACGCCTATAGGGATCCGTGCGCTTCCTTTGCATTTGTAGGCAGGCACGGCCGTCGTCGCGGGCGCCAAACTTTTCTGTGCGCGCGAACCAAGCTGAAAATGCTCGTGTAGGTGTATTTGAACATGGGCCACCCGAATATGCAACAATATCCGGGTCGTTGGATGCTTTTTCCTACGCCTATAGGGATCCGTGCGCTTCCTTAGCATTTGTGGGTAGGCACGGCCGTCGTCGCGGGCGCCGAACTTTTCTATGCGCGCGAACCAAGCTGAAGTTGCTCTGGTAGGTGTATTTGTACATGGGCCACCCGAATATGCAACAATATCCGTTTGTTGGATGCTTTTCCCTATGCCCATAGGGATCCGTGCGCTTCCTTAGCATTTGTGTGCAGGCACGGCCGTCGTCGCGGGCGCCGAACTTTTTTGTGCGCGCAAACCAAGCTGAAGTTGCTCTGGTAGGTGTATGTGGGCATGGGCCACCCGAATATGCAACAATATCCGGGTCGTTGGATGCTTTTTCCTACGCCTATAGGGATCCGCGCACTTCCTTAGCATTTGTGTGCAGGCACGGCTGTCGTCTCGGGCGCCGAACTTTTCTGTGCCCGCGATCCAAGCTGGAGTTGCTCTGGTAGGTGTATCTGAATATGGGCCACCCGAATATGCAACAATCTTTGGGTCGTTGGATGCTTTTCCCTACGCCTACAGGGATCCGTGCGCTTCCTTAGCATTTGTGCGCAGGCACGCCAGTCGTCGCGGGCGCCGAACTTTTCTGTGCGCGCGAACCAAGCTGAAGTTGCTCTGGTAGGTGTATTTGAACATGGGCCACCCGAATCTGCTACAATATCCGGGTCGTTGGATGCTTTTTCCTACGCCTATAGGGATCCGTGCGCTTCCTTAGCATTTGTGTGCAGGCAAGGCCGTCGTCGCGGGCGCCGAACATTTATATGAGCGCGAACCAAGCTGAAGTTGCTCTAGTAGGTGTATTTGAACATGGGCCACCCAAATATGCAATAATATCCGGGTCGTTGGATGCTTTTCCCTATGCCTATAGGGATCCGTGCGCTTCCTTAGCATTTGTTGCAGGCACGGCCGTCGTCGCGGGCGCCGAACTTTTCTGTGCGCGCGAAGCAAGCTGAAGTTGATCTGGTAGGTGTATGTGAACATGGGCCACCCGAATATGCAACAATATCCGGGTCATTGGATGCTTTCCCCTACGCCTATAGGGATCCGCGCGCTTCCTTAGCATTTGTGTGCAGGCACGGCCGTCGTCGCGGGCGCCGAACTTTTCTGTGCGCGCGATCCAAGCTGGAGTTGCTCTGGTAGGTGTATCTCAACATGGGCCACCCGAATATGCAACAATCTTTGGGTCGTTGGATGCTTTTCCCTACGCCTATAGGGATCCGCGCGCTTCCTAAGCATTTATGCGCATGCACGGCCGTCGTCGCGGGCGCCGAACCTTTTTTTGCGCGCGAACCAAGCTGGAGTTGCTCTGGTAGGAGTATCTCAACATGGGTCACCCGAATATGCAACAATATTCGGGTCATTGGATGCTTTTCCCTACGCCTATAGGGATCCGTGCGCTTCCTTAGCATTTGTGCGCAGGCACGGCCGTCGTCGCGCGCGCCGAACTTTTCTGTGCGCGCGAACCAAGCTGGAGTTGCTCTGGTAGGTGTATTTCAACATGGGCCACCCGAATATGCAACAATATTTGGGTCGTTGGATGCTTTTGTCAGAACATATATAGCTTATGCTTTTGTGTAGGCTATAGTGGGGTATCCCATTGGGGGTACAACCCAATTAGGGTTAGTACTTGTACTCACTTCATTCATAGTTCATTCATTCTCGTTTGCATTTCCTCATGGTATCGAGCAGGTTCCCTCGTGGGAACTGTTCCTAGGGCCCACCAATGAAAAAAAAAAATTCCTGCCCGGGGCGCGTCCTGCCCCCTGCTCGAAGCGCGCCTACCCTAGCTGCGGAACTTAGCGGCCCGTTGCCCTTTCTGCAGCGGCCCGCCGCCGCCCTAAGCGGCCCGCCGCCCCCCTTTCCTTAGCGGCCCGCCGCCGCCCTAAGGCGGCCTCGTCGCCGCCCTTTCCGCAGCGGCCCACCGCAGCCCTCAGCGGCACACCGCCGCCCGTTCTGCAGCGGCCCGCTGCCGCCCTAAAGCGGCCCACCGCCGCCTGTTCTGCGGCGGCCCGTAGCCGCCCTAAAGCGGCCCGCCGCCGCCCTTTCCGCAGCGGCCCGCCGCCACCCTAAAGCGGCCTGCTGCCGCCCTACAGCGGCCCGTCGCCGCCCTTTCTGCTGCGACCCGCCGCCGCCGTAGCGCGGCCCGTCGCCGCCCTACTCGACTGCGGCCTCGCCGCCTCTCACCTGCTGCAGCGCCGCGCCGCCCTGCAGCAGCACCGCCGAGCCGCCCGGGCACCGGAACACCCGGACAGCCGAGCCGCAGAGCCACTCAGCAGCCGAGCCGCCGAGCAGTCGAGCCGCCCAGCAGCCGAGCCGCCCAGCAGCCGAGCCGCCCAGCAGCCGAGCCGCCCAGCAGCCGAGCCGCCTAGCAGCAGAGCCGCCCTGCAGCCGAGCCGCCGAGCCGCTCCGCAGCCGAGCCGCCGAGCCGCCCTACTTCCGACCTGCCTGAGCTGCCCAGTCTGGTGAGCACAGTCCCTCTTTCACTGCACTGCCCTCACCCTACTGCTTGCACTGCTAGTCTACTGTCGTCATGGCTACCCCTAGTGTCCTAGCTTTTGACGCTGAGGGTAGGGCCATTGACTTCGAGGTCTGGGTAGATGATCTACAGCTGTTCTTACAGTGCGATAGGGCAGAAGGTCTCTCTCTCTTTGACCTCACCTCTGGCGCATCCCCTGCCCCTGCTGCTGATGCTGACGCCACTGTTCGTTCCCAGTGGGCCACGCGCGACGCTGCTGCACGTCTTGCTGTGCATCGCCACCTCCCTACCTCCGAGCGTGCACACTTTAGTCAGTACAAGAGTGCTCAGACCTTGTACGACGCTGTAGTTGCACGCTACTCCTCCCCTGCCACTGCTGCACTGAGCCGTCTCATGCTGCCGTACCTCTTCCCTGACCTTGCTGCCTTTCCCACAGTCGCTGATCTCATTACGCACCTCCGCACTAGTGACACTCGCTACTGCGCTGCGCTTCCTTCTGACTTCTGCGCCAAGAACCCCCCCCCCATGTACATCACCCTCTACTTCATAGTCACCCGACTCCCTGACTCCCTTAGAGTGGTCATGGACCACTTCCTAGCTGTGTGCCCCACCAAACTCACCATTGACCTCCTCGAGAAGTCTCTCCTAGCGGCGGAAAAGAGCATAGTCGCTATATGAGCTTCTCATGGTGACCCCCGCACCCCTGTCTTTGAGGGGTGTTCTCCCTCCGCCCTCTTGCCCTCTCTCGCTTCTGCTGCTGCTGCCGACCTCGTTGGTTTCGAGTCGGTCGGCGCTGCGTCTGCCCCTTCGGGGAAGCGCCGCACAGGCTGGGGAAAGGGGGGCAAGGGCGCTGGAGGAGCTGGCGGGGGCGGTGGAGGTGGAGGTGCAGGTGGAGGCGGCGGAGGGAGTGGGGGTGGTGGAGGGAGCGGTGGAGGGGGTGGGGGTACCGGTGGCGCCAGTGGGGGCGGAGGCGGCGGCGGT